GGGGGCCTGGCCCGAGAGCTTGGGGTTCGGAGGTTGGGCCTAGCAGGATTTGCAGGGATCACAGCATCCAGGGTGACTTTGAGGCTGTGTGGCGGAGACCCCCGGGCCCCCCACAGGCGGAGCCAGACAGGTGGTCTGGGCCCCTCCTCCGCAGGTGCCTGGCCTGCGGGAGGTCTCCGGTGGCCCTGCACTGCAGGGGACCTGCGTTCCTCGTCTGCGCACTGGGGAAGTGGGGCCAGCCAGCCCACTGGGCACGGGTGGGGGCGGGGGGTGTGCCCGGCCTCACTGGCCCCTGGTTCCCTCCAGTTTCTGACAAGCACCAGTTCAAGAACGAGCAGGTGATGTACCGTTTCCGCTATGACGATGGCACATACAAGGCCCGGAGTGAGTTGGAGGACATCATGTCCAAGGTAGGCGCTCTCCACCCTGACCCATGACCTGATGTCATTTTCAAGGTCGGGGCCTCCATCCTGACCCATGACCTGGCATCATGTCCAGGGTAGCCACCTCCACCCTGACCCAGCAGAGGTCATGCACAGCAGGCCTCTGTCTGTCCAGCGGCCTGTCTTCCCCTCCACTTCCCCTGCCAGCCCCACCCCGACCCTGGTGTCTAGTTGTGCTGTTTCTGGCACTGGGCATTGAACCCCGGGGCCGTAACCGTCAACCTCCGAGCCACACCCCAACCCCCTGTGTCTTGAGACAGGGCCTCTCTAAGTTGCTGAGGCCGGCTTTGAACCCAAGCTCTTCGTGCCTCAGCCTCCCAGTCCCCTGGGATCACAGGCGTGCGCCACGGGCCAGCCCCTGCTCTTTTCTGAGGGCCATCTCTGCACTCTCCAGCAGCCTCGGGCCCTGAACCATGTGGCCTGGTTTCAACTCCCTTCTCTCTTCTTTCAGGGTGTGAGGCTGTACTGCCGCCTCCACAGCCTCTACACCCCGGTGATCAAGTAAGTCCCACTTCACTTCTGCCTCTCCTCAGCTGTGTGGCCTGGGGCTGGTACCTTCGCCTCTCTGAGCCTCACTTTCCTTCTCTATCAAGTGGGCTAATAGCGGTACCTACCCTGGAGGTTTGTCACAGGATGGAGTGGGCGGTTGTTGGGAAGCACTGCGGTGAGGGCAGAGGGTGTCAACCCTAGAACCAGGGACTGGCTGAGTTTGAATGTGCCTGCTAGTTGCCAGCTCTGTGGCCTCGGGCAGTCACTCGACACCCCCTGTACCTTGACTTTTTTCTCTGGAGTGGGGAATGACAGGATGTGCCCCGGGGCCTTTGCACTTGCTCTTCCCGCTGCATGGGATGCTCTTCACCCTTCAGACGTGGTGTCTCTGCCGTGCTCTGTGCTTGTCACTTCATTTGGGGCCCTGCTGTCCAGTAGAGCTGCCTACACTGGTGGAAGTGCCCTGTGTCCGTTGTCCCATATGGGAGCACTAGTCACATGGCATTTTTAAACATGGAGATTGAGGAACGTGATCTTTAATTTGACTTAATGTTATTTTATAAGTTTTATTTTTTATTTTTTGGATTGAATTGAAATTAAAAGGGCTGACGCTGGGCAGCGTAAGCCTGCAGCCGGGGCCATCCCGAGTGAGTGATGGATCCAGAGCTCGCCTCTGCCTCTGCCTCTGTGGAAAGGGCAGAGTCGCTCCCAGCTCTGGGGTGCGTGGGGCTAAATTCATAGGAGGTGCCTTGAGTGTGCTGGCTCTGTGGGCGCCATTGTCATCAAGCGGTCATTCCCTATGTAAAGCTTAGTGGTGGATGAAGGGTCCCAGGGCCACCAGATTCTTACCCCAGCTGCACGTTCCTCTGCCCCATCCTTAGCTCTTGCCGGCTCTCCTGGGTCCCTGGTACCCGACCCTGGTCCCCAGTCCTGCCTCCCGGCTCCTCTGCTCTGCTGCTGCCCTGGGCCAGCCTGGGGAAGTGGCCCGGGGCCTTCACTAGTGCACCGCGGCTGCTGGGCTCCCGGTTCTGAAGCTGGAGCAGTTCTTCAGCCAGACCCTTCCTCGGCCTCCCACGCTGGCCTCGGAAACCGGGGGCCACCTGGAAGGCTGCGGGATGGCCAGGGCTGCCACTGCCACAGGGCTCACAGGAGAGACCCAGGGACCTCGCTGGCCACCCTGGCCCCAGAGAGGGGCTTCTGTGTCACCATAGCCGGGGTCTTTGAACCTAGGACCGTCAGGCAGAACAGAGGGAAGGACAGGGAAAGGCTGAGTTTTCTCCTGTGAGGGTCCCGGGCTCCGGGGCCTGTGCACTGAGGCATCTCAGCCAGATGAGTCCCCTTTGAGGCTGTTCCGCGGCCCCCGGCTTCCCCCACGAGATGCCAGCAGCACCCACCCCGGCTCCTGGTAGCCCACGGGTCCCTCGGAGGGCACAGTGCCCCGGCTGAGGTCCTCGGGCGAGAGTGAGAGAGCCCTAGAGCCTAGTGCCTGCGCCCTGGGGGAGGGGAGGCCTGGGGGGTGTCACACTGTGGCTCAGGTGTGGGGTCGGGGCTGGGCCCCTGCCCGGCCCCTGCCCTGCGCCTAGAGATCTCGGCAAGCCCAGGAGGTCCCACTGTGTCCCCTGCTCATCTGTCACCCCCTCCTCCTCGCAGAGACCGTGACTACCACCTGAAGACCTACAAGTCCGTGCTGCCCGGGAGCAAGCTGGTCGACTGGCTGCTGGCCCAGGTGAGGACCACCCTGACCTGGGCGGCCAGCATCTGGCTTTGCCCCAGGAGGGGGGCTTCCTGGAATGTGGAGCCTTGTGTTGTTTTATTTTTTTAAATATGTGTGTGTGTGTGTGTGTGTGTGTATACACACACACACACACACACACACACACACACATTTAGTTGTAGTTGGACATTTATTTATTTTTACGTGGTGCTGAGGACTGAACCCAGGGCCTCGCAAATGCTAGACGACTGCTGAGCCACAACCCCAGCCCCAATTTGTGTTTTTAATGGTGGCCAGGGCACATAGTGCAAGTTTACCTGCTTAACACCTTTTAAGTGTGCAGCTCCAGTGGCATTAAGTACAGGCCTGATGTCCTGCAGACATCCCCCACCCACTGAGCTGAAGCTCTGCCTGTGAAGGGGCAGCCAGCCCTTTGCTGCAGCCCCACCCCTCCCTGCAGCCCCGCCCCTCCCTGCAGCCCCGCCCCTCCCT